GGTGTTCAAATACTTATTTTCCTCACTGTATATATAACAAAAGTCTATAATATACACTGTTCAAAAAATTAGGGGTAAATTGCAGTATAACATCATGTCAATTAAACTCATGTTTAAGGTTTCAGGATTGTTCTCTAATTTTGCATTTTGCTAGCGTCCTTGTCACTACTGCTAGCATGAAGCAGTACCTGCAGCCCATTCAGGTTGCACAAGTAGGTACATCCATACGTGCCATCGCAAGAAGGTTTGCTGTGTCTCCCAGCCCAGTCTCAAGATCATGGAGGAGATATCAGGAGACAGGCCACGAGGAGAGCAGGACCGTAGAAGGGCATCAACCTAGAAGCAGGACCAGTATCTGCTCCTTTGTGGAAGGAGGAACAGGAGGACCACTGCCAGAGCCCTACATAATAACCTCCAGTGGGCTACTGGTGTGCATGTTTCTGACCAAACTGTCATGTTGCAGTTGGTGTAAAATGGCACTCCGTTTCTGCACAATATAAGTCAATACAGACTAAACGGCGTGTAATAACACGCAAAAAGCAAAATATGCGTTGGAATACCACACGAAACGACTTAAGAAATTGGTGTTATTCATACGCCTTTTGATGATTTTAGGCTGTATTCTTTGATAATACTATTGGGGTAGTAAAGTTGTGAATTTTAAAATTCTACATATACTTAATATATCTATTTGTTCAGGATATAATTTATTTATAGTTTAACTGATTTCAAGGTTTGTCCTACTCTATGATTTATTTATAAAAAGACTTCTTTTTAGTGCGTAATAACTGGTAATTAATGCTCAGTCTAACAAGAATGAGTGTCCTAAGCAAAAACTATTTCACTGCCCAGGAATCACCCCACAGACCTGTGGTAGACCATTTACTAGCACCACTAAACCACTTAAAGCAGCCAAATCAATGGATAGAGCTCAGATTTGAGATTCCTGCTACATAATCTGGTGACTCACAGCACCTCTTCAGACCAGCATTGATTTTATAGCCTTCCGTATCAGCTGTGTGCTTCATATTATTGGAAACCTAATCTATTGCCTGATGCCCATTTGGCCCATGGCCAATAGCGTGTTTGGGGACATCCAATCACAACAACTTTGGATGACTTGCAGTGAATTCCTGGTGGATGATGCTGACATGTGAAGTGAAAGTGAAGCAAATATATATAGATCCTGGTGGAATTTGTCTTTCATGCACTGAGACATGTTTTGGTATACACATGGACAGAATGCATATACCAGCAGCCATGAAAAAAGACATGTGTTTATGCAACATACAGTATATGCGAGCCAGACAGACAATGCCTGCTCCAGACTGTTTGTGGTGCCCTCCTTATGGACAGTGACTCACCAACTCAATCTCTCTCCTCTCACATTTCCCTGTACTCCTTCTCATCTGCCATCCTCAAGCCTGCCAAATAAAGGTGTGACAAAGATGACAAAGGACTCTCCTCAAAACGAGATGCAGCATCAGGCTGAGAATAACACCAGAATTCAATTTCATCCCAAAACAAACATTCTCCAATCTATAGCTCTTTATCGATCTTATCTTTCGGTATTTCACCCATTTTGGAGACTCAAAGCATCAGGCTAGAACTACAAAATGTAAGAAATGTGAGACGTGAGAAGAGTGAGGATGGGTAGTGGGGATATTGGGTGGGAGCAGGGTGAAGAGGGTTGCAGGGATGGAATGGAAGGCAGGTGGGAATAGTGAGGCTGGAGGCCCGGTGATTCACTGTTGCTGATAATACTGCCTAATAAGTGAGACGAGAGAGAGATGAGGCGTTTGAGGGAGGATCAAATGGAAAGGAGTGACTGTTTGTGTGGAGAATTGGACAACAAACAAGTGAGAGAAGGTGTGAGAAAGCAATAAATGAGAGGAAGAGCGAGAGATTGCTGTTGAGGCAAATATGCAGGGTCAGCAGATGGCATCTGTGGGCCTGTAATGAAGGTCCTGCACTCAGAGTTGTGGACACACATGCACACACACACAAACATTTAAACGCAAACAATAACAGCTCAAAGTAGCACATTTAACATTTAAATGTAGCTGCAATGATGTAAACCTACGCAGACCTTCCCTGTACTGCAGCACCGACTCTGGTGCACCCACCTCCCCATACCCACATTGGAAGGATTGTGTCCTGGGATCCAGTAGGTTACTGCACCACTCTCCATCATAAAGCAGGATGGTCAAACATACTCACACACACATGCCCAGACTCCACTCATTTATGCTTGCATTAATGTTTGCCTAATTTCAGGTCTTGCCTAAAGCATTTGGCAGAACAGCGTTAGTTCTTTCCAAATAGTTACACTGTAAGTTGTTTAACAGCTCAAATCACCGGTGTAGGAAACATGACTAATCTAGGGCACTAATAAGATGTTAATATGAAAGAAATGTGAGAGCAAAGGGGGAAAAAAAGAGAGAGACAAAGATAGAGCAAGTCACCCTCAAGGACCACATCCTTTCTGCTAAGTTGTGTGGTGTGGCAAGGTGACAGCTCAACCACACCACTCTAGGAAAGCACACAAAACCCACTTTGCAGTCTTTGTTTCGTTTCCATGTATAAAAGCATAGAGGGATTTCAGGAAACCACTAGTACAAAAACAGCCCAGCCAGAAAGGATTTCTTCATTGTTACATCATGCAAAGTTTCCGACAAGGACGTTTGTTGCCCAGCGTGAGAACTGATAATGCAACGAGGTGTGACAGTCCAAAGGAACACAAATGAAAAACGACCAGGGGCAAGAGGGCAGACAATGTGGTACCTGGTTATCTGAGGAGCACACTGTGTACAATGGGCATAAACTGAGCACAAAAAAAACTCCACAGGGAGCCTTAGATATTGATGCCTTTGTTTCCCTAAACCGAGGCTCACAACCCCCGTGGGATTGATAAGATAGCGCCAGGCTCATTATGATTAGCATTGTAGCATTTCTCCTCATCATTAGCTTTAGAAAGCTCAAGCCAGTCACTGATGAGTAATAAGTTAAGAGGGCCAGATTTCAAAAGATGGATTGTTGTTTCAAAAGGTAAGGCATTTTGATGTAGACGGTGTTGGTGTTCTGCTATAGGAGCTACAGAAAGTCAAATCACAGTGAATTAATAACTTCTTGCTTTAGCCTCAATTACATCCGAGTGAATCATAACACACACCAGTTAGGGTGCGGTGGTTCGGGAATACAAATGCCATTGTAATAGAGTGCCTTTTTGAAATGAAAATGTAAAATTTCTAATGCATTTCTTATGCCCTGCTTTGTGTCTAAATCAGTTAACGTTACACTAGGTTCTAGCAGCCCTGTGTTTTCCCTTGAGGTTGCTGGATGTTCTTAGAACGTTTTTAAACCACATAATCACATAAAACTCAGTTCATTTGCAATGTTACCAACTAAGCCTCTCTAAAGGCTAGGGAAACCCCTGGTAATGTTCCAGATAAGAGCAACTTTCCATCCAAACAAGACAATTATTCAACTACAACATAGTGGAATGTAGATTATTATCTTGTGCAATCAAATTGTGCTGGAAGCTGTCCTCAGAAACGACTTAACAAAAACAGTCTCCTTAGCACAGACTTTCAAAAACACTGATATAATTACTGTACAGGCAAATTTTTGAGAAGCTCCACTTTAATGAGAGTCAGAGCAGATCAACTGTGGAAAATGAAAACGAAACGGACAAGCCGTTGAGTCTAAAGTTACCAGAAAAAGTCCCGTAAAGACCAGGGCCAAGCCACCATCACCTGTGATATCGTTAACTGAACACTCACACACAATCATTGGAGGTACTCATTAGTGAACCTAAGCCAAGTACGCATACTTCCAACTTTGCACTGACTGATTTATAAACACATCTTGTTTATTGAGTAATGTGTAAAACAAAATCGATAAAACATATAAACTCTGAGAGCCTACAGAGAAAAACAGTGTTATGCTACAATACACTATTTAAGAGCAAAAACAGCACATCAGCCTGTATAAAATGAGGAGTTGGAGACCGTCCTGTAAGCCTGTGCTATACTGCTAATTATCAAAACATTAGCCAGAAAACATATCAAATTAAAAAAATTTAATAAATGGCTTCACCACATTGTGAGAAAAAAACTGTCCCATGATTTCCTGCACTCTCTCTCTCTCTCTCTCTCTCTCTCTCGGTTCTATCTTGAAAAATTAGCTTTGTATTACTGTCCATGGCAAGCACACACAAATGCACGCACCCACACAGGCATGCAAATACAGCCTACAGGGCCGAATATTAACACGGAAACAAAACAAACTGAAGCACCTCGTCTAGTGTGGTTGCTGTGCGTGTCTGGGAATGAGAGGCTATTTTGTAGCAACCAAAACAACTGGGTCATATAAGAACAGCCCCAGTTTTCCAAGTCTGCCTGACTCTATTAACAAAGTCATGATGATCTGCTGGTTATTGGATTGAAACATAATTCCGCAGTCCGGCTCTCTCTTTCCAAACTCTTCCATCTCCATCCAGATGGCTTGGGGTTTCACTCATGTCAGTGCTTGGCACTACTTGTTTGTTTGGTTTTCTCACTCTAAGGCAGTCTGAGGAAAAAAGTTTTCCAGGCCCTTCTGTGGCGAGAGGGATTGAATTTCAGTGAGGCCGGGGGAACCATTGATTCTCAGTAAAATATAACCCATTCAAAAAAGCAGCAGGGACAGTTATACATGTATGTTGATTCAATCATTGAGAAACGACACTGAAATTCTATACAGCCAGCCTGGAATTACTCCAGTCCAGCCAATGGAAAGTCAATTGAATATTGAGACAAATATTCAAAAAATGCAACTCCAGTCATCACACGTGTGTAATTATGTCGTGTTCTCTGCGAACATCACCCTGGAATCAGTCCAAGAGCAAACTTTGATGACACAAACAAAGCCTTCCTCATTCCCACATTTAAAACAATCTGTATACATCTAAAAGTCACACACTGTTTTCATGTAACAAAGTGCGGTAGCTCGTCACTCACTATGTTTGTTGTTGTTTTCAGGGCCTGGCGCGGATCTGACAGGTTCCTGGGGATGTCCATGCTTAGGGGTCCGGCCCCTTGGCAGCCCTGATGAGGACAGCTTCCCAAGCCTGGGGCCACTTGGGCTCTCCATGCCTGCAATGGTAGTTGAGGGGTTACAAACACACCGGAGAGACAGACAGCCAGAAGCAATATTGGGCTGCTTTCTGACGCTCATTAATCCCGTTCCATTGCTTGTCAAAACATTATTAGCGATGTCCACCGCATCAATAGCTTGTGATGATGCTGTCTCCTTGTTCTACAATGCACTTTCTTCATGTCGGACATCGGTGCTATTGGACTGAAGGTTATCAGAGTGGAGGCACACACATCATCTGCGGAGGTAATGAGGGTGCGACCTTCTATGTTTCATTTCAAAATCAATATTCTCACTTACACACTAACCCCATGCTCTGCCCATTAGACAAAAAGGTGAGTCAAAGAGAGAGGGATGGCTTCAAAGCCCTTTCCTGAACATCCCTGCCTTCTTTCTTTATCAACAAAAACAAGTGATACATCTCTTGATCAGGTCACGTGGTCAGCAAGTTTTTTTTGCTTTAGGCTAATCTTCATTTGTTGACTGGTAGATAAATTAGACTGGATAGCCCTCCAATCCATTATAAATGTCCGGCCACCATCATCCATAGTAAGCCTATATGTCAGTTTTGGGCACTGTGTGCTGAACCCTCAGTTCCCATCAGCATGGGACAGTCTAATGGATGAAGGCTGACAATCACTAATTATGCTAAGTGGGACTGATTATCATCCAACATGCTTTCTTTTAGCGCACATTCACGTCACTCTCCTAATGAATTACAGCAGCACACAAAAGGGGTCACTCAGCTGGGGGTCACTCAGTGTCTGTTTACACGCCATGCTACTCGCTGTGCATTGAGCGATGACGGCTCATCCCTCACAGTGATAATACGCTCCCAGTTTAGTGTTATAAGTTGTTAATAAATGCAACTTTAAAAGGCACTGTGAGCTCGCTGCACCATGCAAGCTGCAGAAATGTTGCACACACTGACACCAGACACCTTCCTGTTCCTGTATGATGTGTCAGAGAGTGAAGAGATCTACAGAGTAGCATTTAACTACTTAAAAATGAACAGATGTGGCGGTGAGAGAGATAAAGACACAGCAGGATAGACTGCTGAATTATCACCAGTTGAAAAATTGTAAAATCACTGCAAAGAAATTTTAGGCTCGTAATATTGAATTTTGAATTTCAATAGTGACCTGGATACTTTTTGTGTACTGTGCATTCTTATATCCTGTTATAAATTGGGCACTCCTACAATGCTCTTCAGGATATAACACTTTTTAGTTATACTCTGGCATTTGTACAACATCCCTCAATTTAAAAAATAAAAATAAAAACACTGCAGCTGGTGTTTTCATAAAAGATTAATTCTACACATAAAGGACAACCCTACATTACCATACATTTGGCTAGACACAACAAAACCTGGTGACACCCACTCACATCTCCTCACACAATCTGCTGACAACCCAACCTGGAAATAAGTATTTTAGCTCCGCACGTGGCACACTGCCATGCTGTGTGTGTATGTGCCTCTGTCAACTACAACAAGGTTACAGAGCTGCCTATTTATGTTGTTTGGGGGGGGAGAGTGTTACACTTTCTTCCTTCTGATCGGCCACACCTACCTGAACTGTCGGGCAGTCACCCAGCGCTAGGGGCCGGGTGGCCCCGGGTCACCCACGTGAGGGAGGAGGGGGTCAGGAGACAGGCACCAAAGTGGGCGTTTTTCCTCCAATGTTATGTTACATGGCAATCACACCTGCTGTGCGTCAAGGACCGGTCAGGCTGGGGTTGGGGGGCCTGAAAGGAAGCGGACAGTCGTCACCGTCGTCCTGTGCCCCCACTCTGCAGACGACGACGTGGTGGAAGAAGAAGAAGGAAAAAAAAGAGCAAGGCAGGAGAAGAGAAATTACAATTTCGTCTGAACGTGAAAAGAAATCCTGGATACTTTCACCTTATTCCCAGTTTCCAATAGCCTTGCCCCCTTCCTTTCCTGCATTAATATGTATACCACGAGGCACTTCTTCAACCTCTTGTCTTCTCGTTAAACACTCCATAAATATTAAAAATAGCCAGGAAAAGATAGGTAGGTCCCCGACTCCTTGAGGAAAAATATTAGAATACGGGATGGTTTATATAGGCAGTGAAGCAAAATGGCGACTTTATTACGAAGGAGGAGTAAAAAAAAATCCTTGCGCTGGCTGGAGCTAAAGGGAGGCACAAAAATATGTTTAGTGCAGTAATTTCGACGGCTGCGAGACAGTTGGGTAGAGTAAAAGAAAACGGAGCGAAGGAAAATCAGCAGAAACGCCAAATCTCGGTCGGGTTTGGTACACTCCTCGGTTCCTTACCTCGGGATTATTTCGTTTTTTTATACGGATATTATCTCGGCGGCCGTGTACAGTATTACAGTAATGTGTGTTGGGTCATGCGCGTATCCACTCCACCTTTGACAGTTGCAACTACAGTCTTGAAGCAACTTGCAAACTCTCGCGTTATTATTATCTATATCGAGCAGATTAATATTTTGGGGCTGCTGTCTAATAAACTCGCTGCGATACCGGCTCGTGCTGCTCCTCCGACGTAACGGCGCTCGTCCCTGACGAAAAAGGGTCAGGGCTTAAATTCCTTAAATCAACATTCGCTAAGTATTTTAATCTAGTTGCCGCTAAATGTTCTCCCCCGTTCGTGGTCCAGCTTCACCAAATCAGACAGGGAAAACGAGTATTGCCCCGTAGTCTGTGGCAGGCTAATCTTTGTCATTGCCTTAGTGTAGGCCAGTGCTTTAGTCAGTCACTGCAAGTAGCCCTCTCCAAAAAAAACACTGGAATAACAAATATGCCCCAAATGTGCTAAACCTGCTGAGTTTAAAGCGAACAGCTCCACACAACAGCTGTTTTTGGACTAAGTTATAAACCAGGCTTTTATAAGAATATAAACTGCAATATCAAAATTCAAGGTCAATATTAAGGTATTAAAACTATTGATGTCAATAGCAGCTCAACAATATACGGGCATACAGTCAATATAACATTGGATTTTTAATAGCTGTAGCATCATGTTGACTACAGGCTATGTGTTCACTCCTTGCATTTCCCCCCATTTAAGTCAGCTAATAATAAATGTTGAACATATGGGGTGAAGCCACATCTACCTCGTATCACAGCCCACCAAAGTGAATCGTTCATGGCATCACTGCCACCTCACTTGGTTTCAGTAAAACAACAGAGGGTCTCTCTTAGTCTTTGATTGGTGCCAGGCACCATGACCTAATATTTCCCATTAGTGGAAATCATCTGAATCCATGATGTAATGTAGGCTATGTCTAAAAAAATGTTTGCAGCATTGCCAGTGGAGGGCAGAAGAGCCTCATTTTTGTACCATGTGGTTTTATTCTATTGAATCGACCCATGGCACAGCACCACATGTGTTTAAATATCATGAAATATATTGTGTATTTCAATATCACTTTTTTCACACATTGTAACACTAAGAGCTATGCCTGATAAGAGTGTACCATGTTTCTCCATATTGATCTGCACAAAATAGTAACAGACAAGTCAGAAAGAACACAGCATTAATTAATTGAATGACTTGAAGGCAGTACTAACATCTTAAGTGGGCTACCATGTTATTACAGACTGCTGTGCTCTGTCTTAGTTTACTGTCTACGAAAAGTATACGGTGCCACTTATTCATATTTAATAACACGGTCCAAGTTAATGTTTAATTTTATTATTGAAACTGACAAAAGATTTCCAGATTTTTTAAGTCCAGTCAAGGTGTGTCTGCATTAATCCTTCACTAGGGGGCAGTGTTGTCCTGTGATTTATTATGAGCAGCTCCTATGGAAAAATGGTCCCCCTGTAGCAGCTTTGTTGCTTTTAAAAGTGTAGTTGATATTCATAGCAATGCCATGTGTGTTGGGACTACTTTGACCACTGGACTGGAGGGGATGATCAGCTGGTTCGTGACACACTGAGACTAAGGGGTGTTTCACTCTGGACTGAGTGACAACTGCCACTGCTCTCCTGCACAGTGTGTCCCCACTGATAAAGTTAAATCTTCCTCCTGCTGTCTTTAATGGCTGCTGATGAAGAGTTCACGTGGGGCCTTGTGTGACCTGCGATTAGTCCTTATACCGTGGCAGTGATTTATGTTCCTACTCCTCCTCTGCTGAGCGAGCAAAAGGCTACTTAATGGTTTTCAGAACTGGCCAGGTGGAGTGGTTGGTGCTCTAAAAGGCTCTTGAAGAGTCCATCCAGCAGTTTATTGTTTAATTTATCTTTTTTGACCTTTACAGTGAAAGTTGAGTGAGCACACATGCACTTTTTCTTCCATACTAACTTGCTTTGTAGTGGTATACAGAATATTAACGCTTGGGCGCTGGCCAAAAACATTACTGTCTTCAGCTGTTTACGCCACTGTACAACTTCACAGCTGCTTAAGGGCCCCTCAACAGTAGCTGATGAGAGAGGACAGAGTGTTTCTCGTTCTATTTTAGTGCTGTCAAAGGACTGAGATCCAGCTGATCAAAGCCACAAGCAGATAACGATAAACATGCAGAATGGAGAGTCTCAGCATTTGGGTGTTTTAGAATATAATGATGAAAGACAGGCTTTCAAAAAGAAAAGACACTTAATAATAAACAGTAACCAATTAACTGCACCATCCAACCATCTGCTCCACGGGTTTATTCAGGGCTGAGATGGTCACTGTTCACTGAATCTGTTTATCATACATGTGCCTTATTATCAACTGGTGGGATGCTTCATGTCTCTCAGTAATTGGATCCCAGTGTGTGTGTGTGTGTGTGTGTGTGTGTGAGAGCAAGAGACAGAGACAAGGTGTGTGTGTCTCTTTCGTCAGGAAGCCCGGTTTTGCATTTACAGAGTTATGAGTCGTGACTCAGAGAGCATGGTGCAACTATGAGACAAAGTATACTTTGTACCATATACAACGTGCAATCCTTGTTATTCAGATTTTTATATTCAGCTTCCGATTCGCTGTACTTTCTCTTAAGGTCATTGATGAATAAATGAAGGAAATAATGAATTCATAGAAGAAATGAAGAAGAATGGGAGAAAAGAGTAATCAAACAGCAGAGGGAAGGTTGTAAAGAAGGGAAAAAGAAAGTGAAACAAGTATCCAGAAGAGTTGTGCAGCATTTCTTTGTTATGGCCAGAATAGGATATCTGGGGATGCGTGGGATTTGAGGAGATTTATCACTTTTGCACCACATAAATAAAAGCAGTTAGGTTTCTGTGTATGCATTTGAGTGTAAAAAAGATTTTGTAGTGTTTCTATATGCTCAATAAATATATTGTGGTTGAATTTTTTTTCTTAATGTGTGGATTGTGGTTTTCAGCTATTCCACTTCCACTAAATGTGTCAGAAGAAAAATAATTTAATGATATTGTGCCCAAGAGGTTATGGAAGTCTGCATTAGCCCAAATTCAACCCATGACACGGGCTAATACGGTTTAAAGTTATAAATAGGTAACATTATTCAAAAGTCTTTTTTCTGTACACACATTTTATTTTGCATTGTCTCATTGTTAAATTGCTGCAACTATAGAAGGAACAATGTTAAATTAATTTAAAATTTGTTCAATGCTTGATTTATTTTACAACCAACCAACCAACCAAAACTAACAAACTATTGTTTCCCACAGAGGCTATTTTCGTAGGGACACTCTATCACTTCCCTCTCATATTCAATCAGCTTGATGATGGGAGCACTGCTAGCCAAAAAATAGATTCTCAAAGACTGGAAGACAGCAATCATGTTTTTTCCAAAAGTTGTCACAAGAACAGATTTCTGGCATACATTTGGACAAACTTTGTTTTAATAACTTGTCTGTCAAAGACGGAAAAAAACATATAATCTAACCTCTTACAGGATAAATGAGGGTTAACTTTTGTAACTTGAGTTTTTTTTTTCTTCTGGTTCCTTTTTTGTTGTTGTGTTTTTTGATGCTAATTTCATCAAATGTGTTTCAGTGTCTGAGTGGGCTGACTGTATACAGAATAAAACAATTTTAAAAAAGCATGATAGTAATTCAGTGTGCACATCAGGACCAACAATCTCAATTACTTTATTCTAAAAAGACAGCTTTCATCACATTCCATCCCATATGACTTTATATCTGTAAAGCAGAAAAGTGTTTCATTTCCCCGTTTTTTTTGCATTTCAAACAGTTCATCAGTCATCTGACAAAGTAAACCAAAAGTGTTAATATTTACATAGTACATATCTATATAGTACATCAGGTAATCAAAAATAATACAGTGTGTTTTGTCCTCCCTTTTAACAGTCAAATACTTATATTACCCAAAAACTCCTTGTCGAAGGACAGATGGAGTGATAATGGGATGGGATGTTTTTGTTTGTTGAGAATTTATTTTATTTTAACGTATATATTTATGTGACTTAAACATCATCATCATATATGGCGGTCTGCTGCTGTCTAGAGTGACATGAAAGGTGCTCGCTTCAGTCGCGCTGGGAATGCATCTGGGTAGCTGTCATTGCATCTTGATTTCTGAGCATTTGAAATCACACTGTCGCACCAGGGACAGAAAATACAACAGAGACATGTCCTTTTTCTTAGTATTTGTGTGTGACACAAAGGGTAGAAGCTATGAGACTGGTAAATGCTGCCACTGTAACAGGCAAAATGTATATTTCCCTCAGCAGACACTCACTCTTGCATTTCAACTCATTAAAAATAATTCTTAATATGCATCCCATACAGTGCTACACCTCTCCACCATTTATCATTTAAATTATTGCTTTATAAAAAGCATAGACAGTCATTGATCACATTAACTCTGTTTCCTCAGGTTGCACACCATTAATAAAAGACCTTGGTACTGTTACAGTATACACAGATTCATCGTGTACGTTATTCTACAATGCTCATACTGTATATATTTCTAATTTCTCACTGACATACTGCAAATCAGTCACAATACAAAAAGATTGATTTTTGGAATGGCATTCGGCTTAATGTGTTATTGTTGATCCTCCAAACCTACACTACCAAAATTCATGTCCTGAGACGGAAATTCAGTGAAAATTGTGGGTGAGGATTTGATTAGGATTGTATTGACATTAGTCTAATGCATTAAGACCAGCTCAAATTCCTTATGAGCAGGCTCGGTGTTGTAACTTCAAAGGGAGATGGAGATCAACAGGAGGTTTCCTTCGCTTTAGATCCTGTGGCAGAACTGTGGCGCTGCATGTAAATTTATGTTTACACCACAATATTAACCATCCTCTACATGTTTTCAGCATCACCGGGTTCGAAGGTTAAGGGGATTAAAAACCATAACAAAGAGTCATTCATGTAATGACCTTAACCAGAAAAGAGAGGGAAAACTGTGAATCCTGTTTGTGCACACGTAAAGCATGTGTCAAAAATAAACCCGAGTGTGGTTTTTCACCAAGGTTCTGGCCAAATTGCCAGTAAGATGGATCCAAATGAGAAAGGAAACCAAAAAGGAGATTTTCTGTAATCAAGCATATACCAGTGACAGGCCTACATCATGACTTGCGTGAATCTTACATCTTATCACTATGTTACAGTGGGTACCCCTGCCTTGAGCGGGGCTTTGTCTCTGTCTGTAAACCAGATTGGCCGTGTTGAATGAGAATCCTCCAGACTGGTTGGCATGTGGTCTATAGGCCTGTCCTCTCCCCCTTTCACTCATTGATTCTCCGCTCACATATCTGAAGACAGCAGCTCCTCCATGGCTCCTAGAGATGCATTGTGACAGAGGATGAGGGGAAAGGGCTGCCAAATGGATCCAGGGATGAGCTAAGAGAAGTTTCCAAAGGAGGCTGCAAAGAGAGGGGAGAGAAGGGAGTGGGGGATACATAATTAGGACTCACGTGGATAGAAAAAGCAGAAGTTAAAGAGCAGAAGTAGTATGCTCTCACATCAGGTCCTATTGTAAGTCTGTCCCTGTTAATGCACCATGAAGTTGTTTGCCCTGTGTGCTAAGGCTCTCACGCTTTGAAAAAACAGTCTCATCACAGAGCCTTTTCAAAGCACAAGTATGGGGCTCATAACCCTCCTGAATCTGTATGTGATACGTTACTCCCCCAGACTCCACTGAATTATCAAGTAACCAGCGCGGCTGGCCTTGTTTCACGTAACACACTGCACTCAATCACAGAGCAACAACCTCTATAACGACCAATAATTTAGCATGAAACACTGGCTGACTGAATAAGTAAGAGAATAATGATAGTGGGTGAAGATTGCTGTAATGGGGCATGGTAGAGAGAAAGACACTAAAATAATGACATAAAAACTGTTATTAATAAAGCCAATAAAGGAAAAAACTCAAAAGATCTCAAAAATAAGAATGTTGTTTGCAGAGATTTAATGTATAAAAAGTCTAAGGTTACAAAACAGGTGTACACCTAGATATAAATTATATACAAATCCTAGTGTACATAATTCTACTATTTCTACTGTGCCGTTTCGACATACACTGTGGTTAATGCAGGGATATAATACAGCTTTACAAACAAAGGGCAGAAATGATGACATTAAGCTAATCAGCATGTACGAATAAGCTTTTTTTCTCAATGTCATTATCTCTCTTTCTTTTTCTCAAAACAACAGATGCGACCAGGTGGTTTCCCTGACAACTAGCCAGTTCGTTCCATCCTGAAATGACACCAAGTGTCAGTGGGAAGGCAGACTTTTCTCTCCCAGACTGCTGGCATTTCAGCACTAAGCCCTGCTCTCCTGATAGCCGAGGAAGATGCGCCACCTGTCTCTAGACACAGACAGATGTAACACGGCACTGGAGTGAACCTGAACCAGGAAACGACGGAGAGAGACAGAAGGATGGAGAGGCACTGATATGACTAGAGGCTTGTACAGACAGAGAGAAAAGCACTTCTCTCATAGAAATCCTTTTAAATGAGCTCCCAATGGAGTCATCAGAGCCTAGGTGCAGCAGAGGAGGAGGAGAGGCGGATAAGAAGAACGGGTTGAACAGCAACCAGGCAAAATCGACATGTTCCTCCCTTTCTCTGTCTGCCACGCTCAGAGTTCCATTCATATTCTAATTCAGAGCTACAGTTCAACTGGCAGACGTCACATGGAGCTCTGAGTAAAGCTCTGCAAGGATGGGCAACATCACAGGTGCGTTTCAAAGGAACAAAGTTAGCAAGACAGTCTCCCAAGGCAACCAAGGTGTTGCCAACAACATATCTTATGAGGTGGGGTATGGGGGTTACTAACATCGTCATCCTGTTGTGTGTAGGCAGATGGCTACACACAAAGGCATAGACTGACTTTGATGAAAGTTTGATGTGTTGAGAAGGAAGGAGAGACTGACAGTTTACCATAAAGACATAGCAACAAGCAGAGGGGAAAAAGAAGAAGGAGGGCAGATCCCCCACTAGGCTGTGATCTGAATCCTCCCTCCCAAAGCTTTCCAGATGTTACAACAAACCCTGCGTTGTTCACACTGCCCTGAGAGAGCTATGGCTCTGGGCTGTGGAAGACAGCCTCTTTACCTTTCACAGGTTGACTGATATAACACAGCCTAGCTTGCTGAAAATACATGAAAAAGTGCAAGTGAAGTATCTAAAAACAACACTCCGTAATCCAACCATGAAAGCGTTTTGTATAAGAGGAAACAACAATGAAGGTTGAAGTGGTGGATGCGCTTATGTATGTACATTTGCTTTCATGATTGATGCTCTGACTTGAATTTCAACACTGCATGAATCTGTTTTAAGCATTTGTGTATGTTCTAGTACTTAACAATGACCTAAAACTTTATCAACACAAACATTTGTTTTGCGTTTCAAATACTCACACACTAAAAAGTTTATAGTTTGTTGGAGTTACAATGGATTCCAAAAGTATGTTAGTTAAAATGCATCCCAGCACTGAAATTTTTTAAACCAGTATTTAGTGTATATTTAGCATATTTAGCCATGTTTTATTGTTAGCCAAATTTTATGGTCGCTATGCTCAGTGAAGGATGAAAAAGGGAATGAGTGTTTGACATTCAAAATATTTTCAGTGCTGTATGACTTTAGCCTTTTCTTAATCAAATTACTGATTTATTAAAAAGCGTATTAGCCTAAACTTTACTCTTTGATCACCATTTAACCTGACAAACGTGTATGAATGTCATGTCCATCTTGTGATGTGTGATGTCACATTATTCTTCAGTTACGGAGGAACTTAATTTCCCCCTATAGCGTCTACAACAAATGACCTGTGATTCATTGAGTTTGTGCTCCATCCACCTATCCATCCATCCGTCGTCAACCACTTATCCTGCGCACAGGGTCGCGGGGGGTTGGAGCCATTCCCAGCTGACATCGGGCAAAAGGCGGGGTACACCCTGGACAGGTCGCCAACCCATCGCAGGTTCACACATAGACAAACAACCAGTCACAGTCACACTCGCACCTAAGGACAATTTAGGGTCACCAATCAACCTAGTCTGCATGTCTTAGGACGGTGGGAGGAAGCCGGAGCACCCGGAGAGAACCCACGCAGACACGGGGAGAACATGCAAACTCCACACAGAAAGGACGTGACGACTGTGGTTCTCCCCGGGACCTTCTTGCTGTGAGGCCACAGTGCTATCCTGAGTTTGTGCTAATTTCTTAAAATGTTTGCTGTACTCTATTTATTACTTTGCTGTCTGCTGTCTCCCATTCATCAAACGCGCAAAGCATCTGAAAGTGTCATGCATGCAACACATGCTCTGCAGTGTGTTGTGTAAAACATCAAATAAAATCAGTGGAGTGCCCATTTAATACAAATTCAATTCTGCTGTTAAATCCATTCTCCTGAAATCTCTCCATTTACTAATCAAAACCTCAGGAAAACATGGATATCATCTAAAAATACACTTTTCATGCCGTGAAACAAAATGTGTCTTTCAGTTACCGAAGCTGCAAGTGTTTTAAAAAAAATTTTTTTCCCCATGCTTATTGTGTGGAGAACAACATTTTCAGCAATAATTTGCAACCCAAGTAATGTGATTTCATGTAGAGTGTGAAATGCTATTACAGTGTTTTGAGCAAGTGAGCCTGCTCCAGACAGATTAGCGTGCAGCGGAAAGTAGAGCCCCATAGCCAGGGAATGAAAGTGCTATCAGATCAAGCTTTCTTTCACTATCCACATTCCTTCATTAACCTCTTTACCCATCTCATTTCTTTATCTCTGTTATCTGTTAATTTCGTCCCCTGTATTTTTCTCGATCTTTTAACCATCTCACCCCAGTTGCATGCAGCTCGGTGTTCTCTTTTTTCTTTGCTCGCTATTCTTCCTTTTCTTCCCTCTTCGTTTTAAAAAATCTCACCCTTCAGGTGTTTTTGTGCAATTCTATTCTATTATTTGTCCTTTTAATACTGTATCACATATGATATTGTTATTTTGGAGGGACACTGAGAGAGCAATTATTGCTTGTAAATGTTTAGTATAAATTACTGAAGAAAGCATTTTACAAATCTGCTGATGTGAATAATATGAGAGTCGTGTTAAATCGTGTAAATCGCGCTATCATGGCTCAGATTGGAGGCCAACACATCAAATTCTAGCTTATTCGTGTTTTCATCCTCTTTTCAGCAGTTATTATGAGATCAATATTTAATTTTTGGTAAACCCATCAGAGATGAATTGGACCTGACAGGCGCTATAACACAAGGCTTCACTAAATCACGCCAGAATTGCAAATGTATTGGGAAGATCGTTCAGGGAGAGCAGTTGGAAGTGTGTGTTAGGTCGAGTAGAGTACAGCGTGAACCAAAACAGCCTGTGCTCTGCTTCTTAAAGATGAGCATTAGAGCAAATCCTGCAGGTGCACTAGCTTCTGTGCAACATGTCTGGCTCTTTCTTTATCACTTCCACCCTCATCTTTCCATTCCACCATCACCATGCTACACCACACATATCGCCTACCAAATACCATGTGCCAGTCGAAACATCAGCATTTGTTCCTGCCTACCCATATGTGTGAGTGTTCAGCCAATTAGCACCAAACAGAAATATGTTTTTGAAATTTTGACCTTATAATAGTTCACAAAGTTCTTACAATTCACAGGAAAAGTCAGGGGATCCCAAAAGTCAGTAGGTTTCATCCTCTGGGGATCATCTGTGTCTAAATATAATTTATGTGGCAATCCATCAAGTACATGTTAGAATATTTCACTGGTTATGTGAAAAGGTGGCCTTACATGGAAAGCCAGAGGTGTCGCAATCTGTTCAGCCCAGCCCCTGCTCTTTAGGTTTTGTTTGTCTTTGTTTCATGTCATTCATTTATTTTTTTCCAAATTTTATTTTCAAACACTCACCTTACCTCTCATTTCAGATACATTACCTCCTGCCCTTGTGTGTTTTCTACCTGTGTGATGTCTGCCTTGCCCTGATAAGTTTCACCTTTCCCTCATTACCATTCCCTAGTGTATTTAGTCTGTGTGTTCCCTTATCTCAGTGCCAAGTTTGTCTTTGTCCATGTGTCAAGCGTTCCAGTCTTTTCCCTATTGCTAGTTCTGCCAGTGAGTGTTTTTGGAATTTTACTTTGTTTTCCTGGCCCTTACCTGTTTATTGAATATTGATTTTTACCTGCTCCCTTTTTGGATTTGTTTGCCTGTTTGGACTGCTTTCTCTGGACATGACCTTAGCCTGCTTCATCATCCCTGTAAGCCTTTTGTTCATTGACTTTTGCTATCAAATTATTATACAGCACTAACTCTGCCTCTAGTCTGCATTTGGGTCCTATTTCTTGTGTCCCTGGTTACTCTGCTGCCTGTCTTCCACATTCAGTGGCAATCAGTTGTCAAGACATTACACTAAAAACAAAAATGTCAACCTCATGGTGGCACTAGAGGAAATGTTAGGGATCACCAAAGTGAGTAGGATTCATCTTCTGCGGACCAAGAATGTTTGAACAAAATTTCATGGCAATCCTGTAGTAGCTTAAATAGTTGAGTCTAGTGTGGAACCAACTGTCTGACATTGCCACTGCTGGAGCCACTGCGCTAGTTTGGCTAAAGTCACTTGCATACTATATGAGTTATTGAGATAAATTTGATGCTTGTAGCTGTAACATTATTTTTGGATAAACCTCAATCATTTAAAGGTTCAGTGTATAAGTTTTGGTGGCATCTAAAGGTGAGGGTTATGAATTGCAACCAGTGGCTGCAAATGGTCCCATTTCCCTAGTCGTGAAGTCATTCTTCCGTCTTCAGCATGTGCTCATGTGCTCTTAAGTATGAATGTGGTATTAACATGGACGTTGCTACAAAGATGTGTTGGATTAGCATTATCAGAGCATATAAACAACACGCAGACAACTAATTCATTCTACATGGACAGCAAACTACTGTCATAACCATATTACAAATGACATGTTTGTAAAATATGTAAATGCAATAGTTTATTTTGCACAAATCAAAGTTCTGTAGACTTTTTTATGTCCATTTGTGTCATTCTAAGGCAATAAAAACAATGGTTTGTTATGTAAGGTTATCATACACCACTGAAAACATAGTTATTCATATTATATTGTATTTCTGTCAATCGATCTTCCTAAATATTACACACTGACCATTAGGTATTATTTGAAAGTATAGGCTGAGATGCAGAGACGTGACCTTTGCTGTAGTGTTGGTCGTCATGCTGTAGTAGATAATGACAGGAGTGTCATTTTATGGTAAACAGTTTTTTTTAACGTTCCAGTCCACACTCAGGCCATCATCACCTCTGCCCTGACCTACCAATTTATCACCACCTCATTACACTTCTCATTTAATTTTCACCATTGGGAAAAAAATACCCAGATACACATTATCACCCCTTTAGATGCTTCCCAACCTGTCGTACCTTTAACACCTCTGAATAGCCTCTAACCCTGTAAACCTCAGGTGTTTTATGAGGCCACCAAATTAGCTTGCCCTTATAGCTTAGAGTCAGAGCCTGCTGAACTGGCAAATTACATTTGCATTGCTGAAATTTAATTCTTTATCCTTAGCAGTCAACTGCATTTCATCTAGTCAAGTTAATTCAATGTAATTCAATTGAGCATGCTTGATTGGCATTAAATTGCATAAAAACACAACTTTCACTAAGTGTCTAAGTGAAATGAGCTAATATGATATGAGAGGAAACAATAAATTGGACCAGAAAACCAACTGAGATTGAGTGCCCTGGTGATTCACTGGTTAAAGGTACATGTAACTGTGACATCTGGTCTGGTTGGGGACCTTTGTTGCATATCAACCCCATTTATCCCTTGTTGTGTTTCCTGTTCCTCTCTTGTGAAACTTCACAAGCCAAAGCCAGCTCAAGGTGAGAAATTCACTTCACTTGTTACTCATAGCATTGCTGATCTTCTGTATTACCAGTAGCTGAAAGAAAGGGTTGTTTGACTTGTGATGCCTGCAGTTTGTTATTTTACGAAACAGTTTTTGTTGAAACAATTTTATAATGTGCTATTCAATGGCTTCAGATTAAGTGAATTTTTTAAATGTAGTCTTACAGTCAGGAGCCCTTTTTATATGACTCACTTAGTCAGTCTCTTTTATATCACATCTATGTCTTCAGTCTCTTGCTGTGGGGCTGTGGAGCACTCACGTAATCTGTGGCTCCATACGTGGATGTGCTGTGTCTACAAAAACACCTTCAGGTCCCGAAGGTGGGACATGGTAAGATTAAATTGGGCATCAAACCCAGAATAATTTATATATTTTTTGTGAAGCACTCATCTCAAAGCAGTGTAGCAGTGTAGTGAAAACACGGAAAAACAGTAACTGCATCAGCAGCATGAATGATAAATGAAAGTGAGAGTGTGAGCTTGTCAGATTGCAAAGACCACTTAATTTACTTGCTTGAACGTAAGTGATGATTGTAAGAGCCCTAGCACCATCAGTTCATAATGATCAGTTGATGGTATAAACAACATTGCTCTGCCTGAACTAACAAAATATTCTATTTTCAGTCAGACACACTTCTGTCAAGCGAGACTGAACCATTTATAGCAAATGATTATGCAGTAATTTTTGTTATTTGCAGAAAAGGGTCTGATCTTCCAGGTGCTCCATGAACAGTTTGAGTACTGAATTAAAAGGGAGCACATTGGAAATAACTAAAGTAACAAGCATGTTGCAATTCCCCTTAAATGCTTTGAATACAACATCAAGACACATCTATCCAAATATTAAATTTGTCTTTATTATGGTTCAATACCATTGGAGAGTGGAAATATATGTATATTTGAATTTGGTTTACTTTTCTTCCGATTGATTCCCTATTTCCTATTTTGTACTTATCCAGGTACCTAGAGGGAACATTTTGTTGCTAAACTGAAAATTTTAACAATCTCCGGGGAACGGAGAAATGTGTAGACATTTCACGTTGATGACTTGTAACCATCAGTGAACACAGACAACGACCACATACAACAATCACAACAACAACCAAAACAAGCAAGTCACATCAAACTGCTGAATACAGGTCAGCATTGATTGACTGAGCCAGTTTATTGATGGCTGGATAATAAAAGTGTTTACCAAAGCCATCATTCATAGGCTGGGCAGCAAATCAAGAGCTCCCATCAATAACGCCACACACAGCCACAAAGAATTGCACTATGATGTCCAACTCCACGCATGTCACAGCAGGCATGCGTGGTTTCAGACTGTCTCCACCCAATTTAGCAAAACCCAACTGCTGTCCACCTGTTTGTCAGGTTCTTTTATCTTTCCCTCCCTCCCTCCCTCCCTCAAAAAAAAAAAAAAAAAAAAAAAACACGCAAAAACACAATTACCTGCAAAAATACACAAAAACATGGTTACTCACACACGCACCATCTTGTTACTTACTTCTACTAAGGAGCTGCAGGTTGCGGACCTCTTCTCTGACTTGCAGTTGGAGGACTTGTTGGAGGACCTCCTGCCTCAGCGTCTCCTGGACGATTCCCATCCTCTCCAGCTTCTCCCCGTTCAAACGCAGCAATGCCCGCCCTGCCAGGAGGAGGGGTATATTGATTACCTTTCCACATAATTGTAATTACTATTATTAAGAGCGGAGTAATTTAATTTAGCCTATGTATATTTGTCATTTCAATCAACCAGGTGGCAAAATCATTCGCTAAAAAGTTTTTCAGTTGTGAATGTGTAAAAAAACACAAAACAGCAGCAGGCAAAGTAATTTAAATTTGCTTCATATACTGGATCCAGGATTCAATTTACCTTGGAGTTAACCTAAAATGCAGATAGATGCAAATGCTCTGTATTTGTATAGCACCTTTCTAGTCTTTGCAACCACTCAAAGCACTTTTACATCAGTTCAGGGTTCAGTATCTTGCCCAAGGACACTTCAACATGCAGCCTGGAGGAGCCGGGGATTGAACCGCCGATCTCTCAGTTAAAGGGCAACCTGGACGTCTTCCTGAGCCAGAGGACGTGCAGTCCAGATAGATTAAACTCCCTGGTGTTTTTAGAAAATAATTTCCGATCTCCAGACAGACGATACCGATTCTGCATGTGAGGGCTGTGCACCTCCAATAAAACATAGTTTTTCTTTTTTCTTAAAGGGGTTTGCAAATTCTTGCTATGTGCATGTGGGTTTGATGGTGAGACATGAGACTTTTTTGTATGAATGTGAGGGTCTACAGTATCGATTGCATGCCTTGAGAATGTGTTTGACATTTTCTGTGCAAATATGCATTGGTGCATTTATGCTGTAGATTCATTATCTAATTTCCAGGGGTACGGCGTTTTTTTTTTCTGGTTAGGACTGCAGCCTTCCAATTAGTAACAGTAAAAAGGCTGGCATGGGGAGGACTGCTCAGGCTGGGTGTTTCCTGTGGCTGAGTTTTACTACAGCATTTGGTGGTTAACCCTGGGGACACACACATTTAACATACCATTACCCACAGTAAACAGCTTTTACAACCAAGTTGCACTCACACAAACACAAAGGCAATATGAAAAACTTAGACATGCATGGGTGGTAAAAAAGACACACACACACACACACACACACACACACACACACACACACACACACACACACACACACACACACACACACAGATTCAGGTTACAATGGGTAGGGGAGCTATGTCCTTCACCACTGCAGACAGAAGAGGAATCCATCATACCTACAGCAGCTCTGTACAATGCCCAAATCATAATTAGACTCATTACTCATGCAGCTCACTCTCCACATTATTCCAGTCTTTCCCATTTCCTTCCAGTGGACATCAGTACATGCTGTCTTTCTCCCTGTGTGCATTATCTGTACATTACTGCAGAAGAAAAGTCCCCCAAGTTCTGTTTGCATGTATGTAAGTACTTGAATCGTATGTACGAAATGTCAATAATAGGCCACAATTGTTAAATCATCTTGTTTTTCCTTTATTTATCCACAGTAGCTAATAAGCTGTATGTCTGAAGACTGCCAGAAAAGAAAAAAGAAAAAAATGAACAAAAAAGAAGAGTCAGTACTCTTATTTCATAATTCAGTCTCTAGGGTGGAGAATAGACTTGTGTATGTAATAGAGTGATTGACTGAGGTAAGTCTGTCGTGACCCTCAGTGGACCCAGGTCTGGGCTAAGTGCTTTTAAAACCACCTGTAAAAACTAATGTAACATGCCCCAAGCAATAGTTTGCAACATCTTGCAACATTTGCATAGTAATAGCACTCCTTTGCCAATCCTAAGCCCATGTATCCTAAAATGAAAACTAATATTATAATAATAAAAATTGGGGTTTCATATCAGTTGTCCCTGTGAGCCTAGAGGCCGAGTTATGCTCTAAAACAGTGTGTTCTGAACAGCCACATTCAAAAGCGGGGTAAAAAAAGCCAGCCGTCACAAAGAGAAACAAGCAGCCATAATTGCTTAAATATGGGGTAAATTGCGTACATTTCCAGACAGTCACTCCTGCAAGGCATTCATAGTGTTACATGCAGTTTTACACACGGAAATCGAAAGGAATAGTTGTGTAAAGAATGAAAAAAGAAATTCAAACCCTGCCATCTTTTAAACACCAACACACCTGGCCCACTAACAGTTTCATGTTCAAATACTGGGATACCCCAACCCCCCATCAGTGGATGTGGCTGAACTTCTAGACAGCCTTCCCATGTTTTCAAATGTATGACTCAGTTGACTCATCTGCCGACCGATGCATTCTCACAAGTCAAACTGCAGCTCTGTCTATTCCTATCTCCATTTTCTTATTTTACATCACCACACCACTGTGCATAATGTATAGGTGTAAGAAACCTGCAGAGGCAGACTGAAATAGGATTTCAGCTTGAAAAATACATTTGATTAAACGTCTAGAAAATTCATTATTGAATCCAATCTCTCAGGGTAGTGCTGCAGCAGAAGTCAAATTTTGATTAGCATGAAGGCTCTGGTTTGTACTTTGACTAGTTTCCTCTATCTACAGGGATACAACATTGAGGACACTTTTGTTAACAAAGCTTTGTTAAAGTTAAGTGATTGATACTTTATTATCTCAGGAAGCATCAATAATTATGTGTTTTTTTTCTCTTTGAGATATGATACATAGCTTTCACTGGAGCTAGGCGAGCCAAATGAGGACCGAACTGTCACAGTCCTTGCCTTACAACCAGATGGGCTGGAACAATACAAACAATAGCTACCTCTACTGTGGGCAAGTCTCCACTCCCTGGGAGACGAAACCATGGCAAACCAGCTAGCTTTCATAGTGGTCTAATGGATGTGTGTGTGTGTGTGTACATGTGGTTTAAAGGCTTTCCCTCCTCTCTGTTTCTAGCACATAGAGTGGAACAACCCATTTTGTGTGAGCACGACTATCTTGGGGATACAACAACAATAATGTTCCATTTTTTTCACAGTTTCAGTAATTTAAAAAAAAAGTTACACACACACACACACACACACTTCTGTACACACTCATCAACCCCTTCACTCCATCTCTCCCACAGCCCTCTTGTGTGCTTGCCAACAGCAGTACCAGTATGTCCTAGAAAAACCACTGCCCTTGGTCTGTGTGTGTGTGTGTGTGCGTGCGTGTGTGTGTGTGTGTGTGTGTGTGTGTGTGTGTGTGTGTGTGTGTGTGTGTGTGTATGTGTATGTGTGCAAATGAGACAAAGCAGATGAATGGAGCTCAAATCAATTCCCCTCAGACAGACTTAATACAGCTCCTAATAATTGCCTGCAGATAGGGAAAGTAGTGCTGTCAAAGGGAGAAAAGAGACACAAAAACAAAAGCTGTTTCAATAGAGATCGCTTCTCTCAATTTGGCTTCAAAATAAATTGCTTATTAACGATGTCTGTGGGCAAATGGGAAGCAATTCTGCCTTGGCTAGGACAATAATGACACTTAAAACAGTCTGAAAAGCAACCCAAGAGGGAGGAAGGTAAAGACTTCCTTAGAAAAGAACAACCTTTAGATTAAACCTTTGATAGTAGACCATTTCAGTCCATGCTGTCCCTGAAGACCTATACTGTATTACATTTCTTTCAGCTTGTACATACAGCAACAATAAGGTAAGTGCGTAGCCCTGTAGCACATTTACCATTCGCTTTATTTCACTTTCAGTATATATTCTACAGTGCATTTTCCCCATCCTATCACCCTCATCTGTAATTTCCACCAGATATAAAATTGTGACCTGCTTCAGGATATATTATCTTGATAAGGGAAATAGAATATTGCTGCAAGGTGTGAATTCATGCAACAGCAGCTGGAATGCAATCCAGTCCTCAAGACCACATCTGGTGGTGGTGTAGCTTGTTCAGATCAGATCTCAGTCTGCATATACAATCTATCCAGCTTGCAATGCAATAGACAGCTTGCAGTCTTGATAAAGCATCTGCACATGAGGATAGCAGGTGACAGTTTATTGCCTATTCCTGTGCAGACAGACTGTAGACTAGAAAAAGATGCATAAAATAAAAACAGCTGGTGAATGCGAGGATTGGGATAAGGTGTAATTATTCTCATCTAGTTACAGATCACATCAGTGATACCAGGTGAAAAAAGGGCCTCTGTCACTAAATCACATAATGCCACCATTTTTACTGCTAAGCATTAATTATGCCAAGTATTATGAATCTTCTTTCCTTGTGCTTCTGGTACGCCACATTTGAGCATTTTACAATTATCCTGTAATTGCCACTTCTGGCCGCAGTTTAGCAAAGTTACATAGGAGCACTCTCAGTAAAAGTAACAGTACCACAGTGTGAAAATGCACCTTTACAAAAAAGGTCCTGTATTAAAAAATTGCATTAAAAATGTATAAATACTTATTACGCTGAATAGACCCTTATAGCTTATCATATATTTAGCATGCAAAACATTCATATGCAAAATAATAGGTATTTACAGCTGTCCTATAAATGTAGTTCAACATTTTTCTCTGAAATGTAGTATAAAGTTGCACAAACTGGAATATTCAAATAAAGAACAAATACCTCACAACTGTCAAAAACTAATAAGAGGTTTGTCAGATATTTTGTTTTCTGCAAGTGGATGAGCAAGTAATGCGTTTGGAGTTTGCTTCATTGGACTCGCTTGTTAATAAGGAGATAAAATCACAGGTGTGGTATACTGTAGGTGACACAAATTCATCATAAGCGCCACATGCATTACTGTGTGGTGGAACAGAATCATAATCACATTGCACACATAGTCTGACAGTATATTTCCTGCTTTTGACCAGCACCCATCTTAATAATCTACATCTTGTCTGCTACTACTAACAATATTAGTAATATAAACATACAGAACCAAAAAAACAAAATGAATAGAAGTACAGCAAAAGATAGCATAAATAGACACACCAATTAAATGTAATGCAAAAGCAAGAGACAGTGAAGAAGCTACACTGATCTCCTAAGGCAGCTTTTTTTTACTGTAATGGTGCCCTTACTGAGAGACTGAGAGAGACACAATTATCTTTGGGTCACTGAACTAATATGATACAGACACAGAATCTATTTCTCAACTGCTGGCAAGGTCCAGCATCCTTCTGTGTATAAAAAACACAGAGAATTTGTATGTAGAGCATTTATTGATGTGATCCTTTGATGCTGACCATATGCATCAACAACAGAAAGACATATTCACCCAACATTTGCATAAGAAAACACAGGAACTAATAATCCAGGCAAAAAGGAATCCAGCTGGACATCAGCAAGTGAATACATAAGGATAATTGGATCTGAGCCTCCCTCTCTCTCCCTCTCTCTGTTTGAGAATACATAAATAAAAATGATCAGATCAGAGCTACTGTAACTATGACTATGGCACCCTGTTAACCCTAAATCCAATGTTTGTGTGTGTGTATGTAGTATGTATCTGTATGCGCTTGTGTGTGTATGCATGCAAACGAAAGTGAGTGGTGGCTGACCCTACGGCACAGAACAGCAATCTGTTCTCTGGGAGACAAGAAACTGCTCTACCGTCTGCTCTGTCAAGGCTGTAGATGTGTGTGAATAAATGTGTAATTGTGTGTGTTTGTGGCAGTGTCTGTGTATGCATTTGTATGCACCTGCTCATGTGTCTGTTGGTATTAAGGTTTGTGTGTGCATGCACTTGCATGCATTTGTGTGGGCTTGCTTACAAGTGTGTGTGTGTGTGTGTGTGGAGAGGTGGGTAGGGGTGGAGGGTTGTTTAAACTCGAAACACGATAACCCACCATTTTTTCTGCAGCTTTCCCTTTCTTCTCCAAAAATAGGCTGCACTCCTTTCGTTACCTCACATGAATGCCTTTTAAATCTCCTTTGGAGAGATTTGGGTGTAAACCTGTTTCCAGTTGAAAAAGCTAAGCTGTGGAACCACAAACCTAAAAATAAAACTTGTGTGACATTTGGTAAGCCTTTTATGGCTGTGGTTTGCAATGAAGCATCACTTCTGCGCTTATTAAAAAGGAGCAGAGGTCAATGAGAATATCACCATCAAGCAACAACATCTACAAGACCACTCGTACGTCATTGTCATCAAGTTTGCACTCTTAATAATTTAAAAGTAGAAAATTAGCTCTCATTACGACAGAAGAATCACAATGTTGTGTACAGTACCTGTGATGGCGTGATGGGAGAAGGCCTCTACATAAGTCAGGTAGTTGTGTGGACAGTGTTTCTTAAGCCACTTGCAGACGTCCTGCTGAGTCCACAGCACCACAGGTTTGGACAGACTGGACAGAGTAGGACTGGTGTGATACACAGTGAAGGCTTCACCCGGACGCAACTGAAAAACAGAAGCCGAAAATGTTACATTAACCAACGCATTGTACAGAGTCACTGAGTGTATGTGTGTTTCAATTTCCTGAAGTACTTGTACTACATGACAAGTTGGAACATTGCTTTTTTGTTTTTAAAAAAAGATAATCACCTTGTAATTGCTCTACAGTAGCTGATGGTGGATTTTTTCATTAATGTCAAATTAGCTGGGACGATGCGTTCTAATGTCACAGTTTGCAACAAAATCCCTTCTGGTATTCTAGTTCTAGTATTACACGTAGAAAATGTGCAAATAAAGTAATTTAATAGAAAGCAGCTCATTAAGGGTCTGTAGCCTGCAGTGCTATCTCTCATTCATCACATATACAAACTAACAATGTGCAAGTTACCTTTAACCACTTAAAAATCTGAAAAGGTCGGCTTGTGTGAAACAGATGAAATTCACATAATGAGCACAAACATAACCCAAATGAACATTAGGTTTAAAAGCTTGTAGGCATATAAGTGAAAACAGATGCTGTTCTTCTGATTAAAAGGGCCACCCAGTTTTTCACCTTTTAACTCTAATTCAGAGAGACAAATGTAAAGCTGCTATTTCCTCTGCATCACCATATTTTCTCACATTTATCCAATTCTGTAAAATGTGGCAATTCTTCGCTCTGTCAACAACATATCTTGATACAGTAATTACATTCCATACATCATGTCTACCGGCGTGGGTTGTATAGTATTGTTACTTGACTGGTCTTTTTCCGGAGGTAATTTTTCAGTCAACATTAGTGTGATTCTGTCATCTTTATCTTTCTACTATGGAATTAATACAGTAACATCTTTATTTATCTGATACTTAAGTCTTCTCTCTTTCCTTCTTCACAAACCTTCTGCTGACCCTGAACGTTATCAAAAATTTTCCTTTGTGTGTCACGGCCATGTGCGGGGAATTAATGTGGACATTTAATAAAGTCACAACCAGTTCATATAGACAGAAAACACAACCCCTCCTTGTCCCCTCAGCTCTCTCTCTCTTGTGGGACTTACTCTCATATCTAATCCATTCATTCATGCTCTGACTGAGCCAACTCCACAACAAAGGCTTTGGCTGATTTTCAACAGAAAAACACAGAACTGCTGCCAAACGTTCCACTCCATAACTGACTGCATTTAATGGGATTATGTATGCTGAAATGTCATACACACAAATGCAACTGGAACACACTCTTGTAGCTTAATATCCAATGTTCTCCCCGTTATGTTCTTGTTAATGACACATAGATCTGCTCCCGGAACGTCTTCACATCTCAGTATGTGATAGAGACAGGTTTCTAACTATTTACATCTTTGCCTGCTGCTTTAATGATATCTCCTCCTGTCAATCTAAGCACCAATCAGCCCTATCAGGTTCTGGCTGGTCTACCAGCAAAGTATGTTCTGCTTTGTAGGCCTTAATTGAAAACATCTCCATTCCTCCACTCCGGTGTGTTTGCTCGTTTCTTAATTACACACATACTTCTAACCCGACTCATTGGAGCGCTGAAACCATTTTAATAACCCAAATTTACTGCTCGCCCCCCCATCATTAATTGTGATTGAGCTGGGAGAGGTGTGGAAATGCTCTCTCTTGTGGATGATTGAGTGTGGACAAGAGAGGATAAAAGTGTTCCCTCATCTTTGGATGCCCATTTCGTCTGCCTGCAATGAAGCTGCAATCCTGCTGATTTAGTCCCCATTATCTCAACAATCCTCATATTGACATAGTTGAGTAAACATTGGAGTGGGGGCTGCAAAAGCCTGGACAATCATTTATGGTACATTTAACAAGACAAATAGGTCTTTGGTAACAGGACCTGCTATTTGCACCGTCAGGTCATGATCCTACGACCTGGATGGGTAAGAATCTTCACAGAAAGACAAGAGAGATTGGATTTTTATACTTACAAATGTGTTTTCTTTCTCTCTTGCTTTGTTGGTAAGATGTTAGATGAGGAGATCGATACCACTCTCATGTCTGTGCAGTATGATGCCAGCAGCCGCTTAGCTTAGCATTAAGACTACTGTTTCCAGTATTTATTTACTAACTGGCTGCTAGCTGTATTGTCACATTTACTGTATACAAGCATACTTTTCCTTTAAAATATGTCTCCATGGTACATAAAAATTATTTGCTTTGGGATAGAGATGTTAAACGGGTCGAGGTAATAGGATAGACCTGTGGGTGTTGGTGTTGATGGTAAGGGTTCTTCAATACTCATTATTTTTGTCGTTTAACAAACAGTGTCTTTCAGCAGGATAATGTGTCCTGCCACAAAGCTAAAATGGTTGAAGGTGTTGACTTGGCCTCCAAATTCCCCAGATCTCAATCCAATCTAGCATCTGTAGGATGTGCTGGACAAACATGTCAGATCCATGGGGGCCCCACCCCGCAATTTAAAGGACTTAAAGCATCTGCTGCTAACGTCTTGGTGCCAGACACCACAGCACACCTTCAGAAGTCTAGTGGAGTCCATGCCTCGACGGGTCAGGGTTGTTTTTGAGGCAAAAGGGGGACCTTATGGCTGTATGTTGCACTTATGAGTGGAGATCACAGATAGTGCAGTTATAGATTCAGCAGGCAGATTCATAATAAGACCTGTAAGTATGAGAAAATAAATTCTCATAAATAGTGTATATATGCTCCTAAAAAGATGACTCAACAATCTGTAATAACTTGTCTTTAATAGGGACTACGCTACATGGCATTGCATCATCACAGAAAAAATAAAATCAAGTGCTACAGAGGCATCCATAACAAAGTACCCATAACAAATCTGGGAGACAGATAAAATCTTTGCATATAAGTTGTAATGATTAATTATTGAATATTTCATGACTCACATTGATTAACTTTTATATAACTGTGCAGTATAAGTCATGAACGACTGAATGAACTACATAAAGACAATGAAAAGAGAAAGATGAGAAACAGAGAGGGTGAATAAAGACAGACAAAGAATGACAAAAAGAAAGAGAAGACAGCGCGGGGGAGTCGGGACTCTTTGCGTGAGTAATGGCCTTCATCATCAAGAATCCAGACAGAAGGGAAATGGAATGATAGCTCCCCATCATCCCTCCTTCTCTCTTCTTCCTCCCGCGCTCTTCTTCGGCCATCCATCAGACTGTATCTCCTCTGGCCTGTTCTGTCGTCCCTGTTCACCCTTCACTACCTCCCCCACTCTGTCTGAGACCTACTTCTGTCCAGTGGGAGTAGCTCCCTCATTCATTACCTACAGGATGGTGGGGGTTTGGGGACTGGGGGGTGGAAGCTGAATATGGAGCGGAAGTCTAATGAAAGGTGGACAGAGAGGAGCGACAGAAAGAGGGGGAAGGTAATGGATTTGCAGTGATGTTGTAGTGAGAGCCAAAATGGCTGGGACAGTAAGCCTGTTCAGTCCTTAAGTTGCAAAAAAATGCGTGAAATGTCACATTGTTGCCTGTCTGATCTGTTTAGTTTAGTTATCTGCTGGTTTGTTATTGGAGTCTGTGTTTTGGATTTATTCCTAACTGGCGCTCTGCTATGTGTTGGTTTGTGTTCTCTGTTTGGTTGTGATCGGTCTGCTTGTATTCTGGATTAGTTTGTTATATACAATATTTTGTTTATTTAATATGTACAAAAAATGAGGGAACAAGCAGCAGCGAGACATAATATGTTAATTATTGAGCTTTATAATAGAGGAATATTTTCACATCTAAGCTAGCTGTTTCCTGCACTTTATGCTAAGCTATAAGCTAATTGGCTGACCGTGGCTTCATATGTATTATGAGATGAGGTATCAATCTTCTCATAATTTTTATTGACCATTCCTTTAATTTATACTATGACATCTTTATGGAAATGCACACAAAGACACCTAATCTGTTATAATTAACCAATATGCTATGTTAAGGTGTCTCTATATATTCAACAGGACAAGTTATGTTTCTGTCTTATTTACCAGTCTTCCTGCTTCCTCACATCCTCTTTCCCTTCCTACTCCACATACTCTGTCTTTCTTCCCTATTGATCATTCTGTTTGTTTCCTCAAACAGCTTATTTGTCCTCCCCTGCTTACTTTGTTCTATCATGCCTTTTATCCCCCCTCTACTTGCTCCTCATAAATTTTATCCTCTGCGTGCCTGACACACTCCCTCCTCCCTCCCTGTCCCTCCTTTCTCTTGTTTCCTCCCTTCAGTCTTTCTTTTGCCTTCACTTCTGTGCACTGAGCAACTTTTTGTCTATTTAACTGCCTGTGTTTCTGTGTATGTGTGTTTGCAAATGTGTGTACATGCACTGCCTCACAGTGTAGCTAAATCAGGGATTAGCCTAAAGTCAGGGGAGCGTGGGGAATCCTTAAAATTCACTCTTTGTGACCGATAACACCTCTCTTCCGATGCCTGCCTCTGTCTCTGCACATCCACACCCTGCCTGACATTGATCAATGATGTAACGCCAATTAGCAGTACAAATCTGAATGTGTGTGGGTGTGTATTTGAGTGGGTGAATCCACGCTGCTCACAAAAATTAAGGGAACACTGAAATCACACATGAGATCTTGATGGCCAAAAAAAGTTCCAAAGCTTTAATGTACATTGTATAATTTGTTGAGAACAAAATGACATAACAACGGTCAATGGAAACCAAAATTACAGAATTAAATCGTTAATTCAACTCGCCTGACTTTAATCACGGCAACTTATAATTTCTTAGTAATGTGTATGGCCTCCACCTGCCTGTATGCACTCACGGCAAGGTCTGGGCATGCTTCTGATTAGACGGCGGATGGTGTCCTGGGGGATAGTCTCCCTGGAACAGGCCATTAGTGTCAGATGCACCGATAAATAATGGCATAGGTTCTCAATTGGATTCAGGTCTGGAGAACAAGGGCCAGACAATGGTATCAATGCTGTTATCATCTAGGAACTGCCTATACACTCTGGCCATATGAAGCTGGGCATTGTCCTGCAACAGGGGGAACCCAGGGCCCACTGCACCAG